CCTCTCTTCCCCCCCCTCTCCCCCCCCCCGCGATTGTGAATGCCCACTCTTACTCTTCTCTCTCTGTCTCTCTCTCCAGCTGCGTCCTAAAGGAACTGCAGTCTCTTGGGAAGGAATTGTACGGGGCCAAATTGATCGCTCAGCGGTTTCAAGTGAGAAGTTGCCCGCACGCGAAGAGCGCAGTGAGTGCCTCCACCTGCCTCCTGTCGATGGTTGGAAACAACAATCCCCATCACTACTTTGTGGCCACACAGGTAACCTCACGACCCTGGGCATCTTAATGGGTCTCCGGGTGAGATTTGGGTCCTGCTGCGGTTTCAATTCCACAATGGCCGACTGGCCAGAACTGGGGAAGGGTGTTGGGTGTGTGGGGGGGCAGCATTAGGCTTGTGGATGATGAAGTTGTTCAGACCAGTACTGCTTGACTTCTTCCCCTCTGGGGGAGCGGGGGTGGATGGAGGGGGCTCTTTGCCTCTCACTCGGGACAACGGAAAAGCAATAAATTGGTAACTTAGATGAGTAACTAATAAAAAAACAAGTCACTGCAAAACAGCAGAGCTAACTGAGAGACTAACTGAGCCCCAACTCTTGGAGTTGGGAACTGGCATCCAGCTAAAGAGCTGAGTTTAACTAACACTAACCGCATGCTCCCATCATCTTCTCCCTCATTTGTTAGCCTCTGTCAACTTTCCCTCCGATGCCCCGAAGTTTCTGAAATAAATCCTGTATGTTTTTCTACTGAGAGATCAACTAGCAATAAGAAAATCAGAGTTTTTTCTTATTTTAAATTACAGTAGACTTTTAACTTAAAGCTACACAAGTCTATAGTTATTTTTGATAGCTTGACCTTTTTAATCATTTTAATCATTTATTGTTTGTTAATTCCAATGCTTTGATAGTTCTTTGTTGTGGAGATAATATGTACATTAAACATGTCTCAATTGTATTAACAGGATCAAGAGTTGACTATGAAAATTAAGAAGTTGTCAGGAGTCCCTCTGATGTACATTATCCAAAATACTATGGTCCTGGAGAAACCTTCTCTCAAATCAATTGCACAACTACGTTCTTTGCATGATAATCAATTTGTCCCCATACATCAGCAACAAACTATACAGCATTTGAAAGAAGAGCATGGCCTTGTGAAGGAATCTGAACCCAGGCATAAAAAACGCAAAAGGAAAGCGGGCCCTAATCCTCTTAGTTGTTTGAAAAAGAAGGTCAAACCAGCACCACAACCAAATAAAGAGAAAAAACGAAGGCGATCAAGAAAGAAAAGGAGAACAGATATATCGTGTCAAACCTGAAGTTACTATGCAGAGGTGTAAACCAGGCATTTGTAAGAACATGGACCAAAGTGCAAAGCTATGTAGTTTTTCACATAACACTTAGTGCTCTTGACTCTATTACAGTCTAATTGTTCCAAAATTTGCTTAAAGTAGTCTGGAAGGTTTTTTGCAGAAAAAGCTATAATTGGAGTTTGAATATTTATAATTGTATAAAATATTTATAAATGTTTATAAATGCTGATGGTGTGTTTATAATGATAACATGAGAAATTAGAACAGGAGTTGATGGGCCTGTTGAGCTTGCTCCAACGTTTAGTCAGTTGTGCCTGAACTCTCCCCCTGTCTCTTGATTCCCAATGAGATCATCTCAGCCTTAAATATATTCAGTGACAGAGTATAAACAGCCTAGGGTAGAGAGCTGAAATATTCAAATGGCTTTGCATGAAAATTTTTCCTCCTTGCTTCTGCTTCTAAACAATTGAACTCTTGTTTGTACCCGGTATTGTAGATTTCCCAGCCAGAGGGGAAAAAACCTCTTCATGTCTTCTGTTTAGAAGTGAACCTTCAGCTAGTTACTTCTCAACTCCAGAGTATTAGCCAAGTTACTCAAAACAATGGTACAAAACAAATAATTTAATGCAAAATTATTTTTTATATGCAAAGCACTTTTAAGTATTATCGAGTGCTGAAAAATCATAGAATGAGATTTACATTTAAAAAGACTCTAGACTGCAAGGTATAAGTAGGTAAATTGATCCACTGTTAAAGAGTCTCGTGAGTACAATGGACTACTTCAATAATGCTTGAAATGTGACCGATACTAAATGGTCTACACCTCATTTAATTCATTTAATGGTAATTCAAAAGATAAAGCAGGCCAAAATCCTTGAGTGCGTGACTAATATCTTCTCAGTATGAAATATGTTATATCAGGTTAAATCGGGTATTCCCTGAAAATTAATCATTCCTTGGAACTTCCATTTTTCTCTTTAGTAACAAAGTACTGAATGGGAAATGTTCCCAAGCTCCTTCCTCAATTATTGACAGACCATTCTGGACTGAAATGTTGTTTTCCTAGAATCTAGAATAGAAGTAGTTGAACTTCATGCTGACATGCCACACGTAAACCATATTAATAGCGTATCTAGAATGTAAATCATGAGATTTAATCATTTATGCAATCATTAATGGGCTTGGGCGTAAAGTTTGTCAGATTTTAATTTATCATTTTTGTTATGGTGCACAAGATATCTCTCTCCTGAAACTGAAGAAGTCTCAGCGGAAAAACTATTATTTATGGACAGTTGACTTGTCAGTTTGCCAATGAAGTTTTATGGATCCAATTTATTCCAAGCTGGATCCACTTGAGCCGAAATATTTTTGCTAGTATATGAAGCTGACTTCATTCAGTATATTGTATTTTTGCAAGCCCCCAACAGAGTAGAAGCAATGCCCTCATGAGATGATTTAAACTAATTTACACATTGTTGGGTTCCACAGTATAGCATAAGAAAGGAGATACAAGCTGTACAAAATGATTGGCAGAGGGAGATAGCACTTGGGTCAGCAATATTAAACAATTAGGTAAAATCAGATTGGGAGTTAATGTAACATTTAAATTTGGTTTACAGTCAATAAGCTACAGGCACACATAACCACATGGCAACATATGATTGTAGCGATAATGAAAACCTGTCTCAAGAAAGAACTGGGAACAAAACATTCCTAGATACAGGATGTTCAGGACAGATAAAGAAGGAAAGGAGGGGTCGGCCATTTGATTAAGGGGAATTTGATATAGTGCTTGAGGGAGAGATCAAATACAATTTATTTGTTTGGAAGTAAGAAAGCATAGAGGAACTATTACACTACTGCGTGTGTTCCATTGCCACCACCTTTAAAGGGAAAGATAGGATTAAATTTGCAGGGAAACTGGAGAGAGGTGCAGAGTTATATAGATGGGATGTTGATAATCCCAGTATCTTTTAGAATAATTATAAAGGGAGGAAAGAGTTCTTGAAGTGCATTCTTGATTAAAGTGTTTCTAACCCAACAGAGATAAAGGCTTTTATAAGGTTTAAGTAAGCTATAAGAAAGGATCAAGTGTATTCTAACGTAAAAAAATAATTGGAGCAGGGCCAATTTCAATGGGGTGACAACAGATAAATTGGTCAACTGGAATCAAAACCTGCAGGCAAAACTAACAGAACAATTGACTTTGAAGAGAAAATGATTCTGTTACTTTGGCTCAATCAAGGTACATTCTCACAAGGGAGAGAGATTTTACAACTAACGCCAGGCTGACTAGATGACAAAAGAGATGGAGGTTAAAATGAAATAGGAAATGGGTAAATCTGATGATACAGATAACAGCCACCTGAACATTGCAAGTTCAGAGAGAAAATGTAAAAGAAAATAAGACTACATCAGAAGGGACTAAAAGCTGCTATAAAAGGAAAAGCAAAAATCTTCTATCAACATGAAATAATAAAGAGGGAGTAGGGGAAGGAATTGACTTAACGAGGGACCAGAAATAGTTGAAAGAGAAGGTTATGGCCAAGCTGAATGGGTTAAAATTGATAAAGAGGAGACATTAAGATATCTAGCTGCATTCACGTAGGATTGCATAAGATAGATGGCATAGAAACAAGCATTCAGCCCAACCAGCATATGCCAGTGTTTAAGGTGCACTTGAGTGTGTTTTTATCTTTTTTCATCTAAATCTACCCCATCAAGACTTCCTATTCCCTTCTCGTGTTTGCCCAGTTTCCCCTTAAATGCATCTAAACTAATTCAATTAATTCCTGTGGTAGCGAGTCCCAGTACCATTCTTTTGAATATAATGTTTCTTCTGAATTTCTTGGTGATTATCTTAAATTGATGATCTTAAGGTATCTCCACCCCACAAGAGAAAACATCTCTGTATACATGTATTAAAACCTTGCACAATTTTAATGATCTCTATGAGTCTTTAATCGTTGTTTTAAAGAGAAAAGGGGTCCAGCCTGTCAGTCCAGATATGCACACACACATTTCTCTTAGTATCCTTGAAAATCTCAGTGCACTCTCCAGTACTTTTATAACCCTTTTATAATAATGTTTGTAAGAAATCAGGACCAAACAGGATCATTGGAGGATGCTGAAAGAATGAAGAGTGACATTTACAGAGATAGTGGCCATAATTTTCCAATCCTCCTGAGATATGGGTGGGGACTGGGGGGCTGAAACACCAGGTGACTTGAGAATTTCAAACATTAAGCCCAAGTTCAAAGAGTGTGCAAGCATAGGTTTTTCATGAGGTACTAGAAAGTATATATGGACTTCCAGAAGGTGTGTGAAGTATCACATAATCGGTTTGGCAGCAAAGATGAAGCTAATAAATGGGCTGGTGGTAGCATGATTACGCCTGAGTGGCAGGATAGCAATAGATCAATTAAGTGCACCTGTAGGCCTTTGTCATCAGGTTGGCACATAAACTGGATAACAGTATCAGTTGTGTTTAGGTGAAAATTTTGAGCTCTAATGTAACAGGAAAACCAAGCAGTAGAATTCCATTCAATGGGTGTTTTGCTCAAAGACTACTCCTAATCCTATTGTCTGTTAATGGTTCCCTAGCTGTTTTTGGCAGGTTTATGGCAGTGTTGGGGTTTCTTACTGCCTTCTTGTCTTGGGGGCAGAGTGAAGAGCAGGTCTCAAGCTTTAACAGAAATTAAACCTGTGCTTTTTGGCAATATTTTGAACCATGCGCAAGCCACTAGCCAACTGGGCTAAATGGTCTGATACCTGTGTGGGAATGGGCTCCTTGTATCCAATATATAATGGTATGAGATAACAAGGTGTAGAGTTGGATGAACACAGCAGGCCATGCAGCATCAGAGGAGCAGGAAGGCTGATGTTTCGAGCCTAGATCCTTCTTCCTAGTTTTCCCTGTATATCAAATTCCCTTCTTGCAAGGAATAAAAATGCTAAAAAAATGTTGAATATATGCAAACAGCTTCCTTGAATCAAAATGTATTCTTAAGTAAATATAAAGAGGGTGGTGTGTGTATGGAATGAGCTGCCAGAGGAAGTGGTGGAGGCTGGTACAATTACAACATTTAAAAGGCATCTGGATGGGTATATGGATAGGGAGGGTTTACAGAGATATGGCCAAATACTGGCAAATGGGACTAGATTAATTTAGGATATCTAGTTGGCATGGATGAGTTGGACTGAAGGGTTTGTTTCAATGCTGTACAGCTCTGTGATTTCTAAGTGCATGGAATGCAGCATCATAAATGTTAGAAACAAAAATGCCTGTGTAGGGAATCCAAACACACAGGTATCAAAACCAATGGTATGCACACTGGGCATACAAAGACATTTCCCATGGGAGTAAACTACCTTCCAGCCACTGGAGTTTATTCTGCCCGAAATATCAGAATTAATCCTGAAGATTAAAATCCGTTCGATGTTTTGGGAAAAGTCTACGATGAGTGTCAAAGCAGACACTGAAGGAACATGGCTAGTAGTACATGTAGATGGTAAGACATTTTCCCCCATCATGGGCTGTGGAATTCACATTTGTTAACCTTTTGAGAGAACTGGTGCTGTGGAGCGTTCAGTGGTACATCAGGGTTTGTGGGAGCAAGCTAGATCAGACCATAACCAGAAGTTGAACAATTTGCAGAACCAGTACAGAAGAAATGACTTTGTAACAGTCAGGTCTCTTAGACTGGCCAAGCTATGCTACATCACTGTCAATCAATGAATATTGCACCATAGTTCATCCAGACAACCAAGTAATATTAGCTGGCTTGTAACTTATTGCAATCATCATGAAAATATACTTGATCACCAAACTCAACTAAGATGAGCTTTCTTTGCAACTTGAGTGGAAGTGTGGTGGGGATTGTGGACTGCTGACTGATGTGTGATTGACCTGGCAGAATCAAAGTTGATTTCAATAGCGTTGTCTTTAGTAAAGGGAATCTGCATATTGGTGAACTGTTCTCTCTACGTCCATTATTCTCTTACAGAAAGGCTTGGAAATGTGATGGTTGATTCATGCATTACCAATCGACAAGGAGAAAGGCATAACAGGGTCTCTTTGTGATAAGTGGGAGATTTCTCTCTGAAACCCCAACAGCTTCCTCCACAACTCTTCTCAAGCGACCATACTTGCTGCAATACTTCTACATAGTGTCTACCTTTCATACATAATGATCTCGGTCCAAGCAGAACTAGATCCAGCTTTCACCTGATGGACTTCGGTAAATCACCACCTAACTTATAAGACAGAAGTCTGTTCCTAGTATTCAACATTGTCCTGGAAAAGAACGAAGTCCTGAAGTCTAAACTAGATCTGGTCTTATATAATTTAAAATTTTGCCCCCAAATTGCGTCACAAGTTGTTATTGAGGAACGATTGGTACAATGTCACATAATGTGATATTAGGGCAGATGACTTAGGAGGTAGATTTTAAAAATAATTTAAAGGGGAGAGAGAGAGAGGTTTCGGGAGATAATTCTAAACTAAATCATAGACATCAAGACACACTAATGGTGGAGATTAAAGATAAGGATATACACGATTCTAGAATTGGAGGATTAATGAAATCTGTTTTAGAGCTGGAAAAAGTTATATAGAGAGGAGGACAAGGCCACGGAGATTTGAAAACAAAGATGAAAATCTTAGGCCAGATATTATAGGAACAAAAGTCAGATTTGTTGGGTAAATTGGATTTGGCCCAAATTAGGGCGCAGGCAGTAGAGTTTTGGACTACTTCAAATTTATGTTGAGCGAAAGACAGGCCAGTCTGGAAAACAATGGAATAATCAAGACTAGGGGTGACAAAGGTATGGCTGAGGGATTCTCCAGGATATAAATTGATGCAGGAGAGAATTAGGTCATTAGAGAAGTTGAAGTAGCCATTTTTGATGAGGGAACCGATATATGGTTGAAAGTTCTTCCTGGGGTCAAATTTGACACCAATGTTGCAACCATTCCAATTCAGCCTCAAACATTTGTCAGGACGAGGAGTGAATTTGGCAGCTAGGGCTTGAGATTTGTGGGACTTTTCTCCTTTAGAAGACTGAGAGGGAGATCTCATTTAAGTAGAATGGTGGCTCAGTGGTTAACATTACCACCTCACAGCACCAGAGATCTGGGTATGATTCTGCCCTCGGACCACTGCCTGTGTCGAGTGTGCACATTCTCCCCATGCAGGTTTCCTCTGGGTATTCCAGTTTCCTCCCACAGTCCAAAGATTTGCAGGTTATGAGGGTTGGCCATTCTAAATTACCTCAGTGTCCAGGGCTGTGCAGGCTAAGTGGGTGAGCCATGGGAAATGCAGGATTCCAGGCATAGGATAAGATGCCCTTCAGTGTTGGTGTGGACTTGATGGGCCAAATGGCCTGCTCCCACACTGTAGGGATTCTATAATTTAGAATTATTAGTAGCCTGGACAGAATAAATAGAGAGAAAATGCTCCCATCATGAAATGATCAAAAACCAGAGGATATAGACTTAAAATAATTAAAAAACAAATTGAAAGTAATCAGAGGTAAAACATTATCACATAACAAGCAACATTCCCTCTAATTTGTTTCTACCCCATGAACCTCCAGAGTTGTGCATGGCAGCGGCTTCTGGAAGCCAATGTCAATACACTGCCACATTGACTGCTGTGTGTGGAACTTCCTCTGCACAGGTTAGGAGGAATGTTGGTAATGAGTGATTTTGGATGTAGAACACACTGCCAGAGTTTGGTGGAGGCAGGTTTAATCAAGTCATTCAAAGGGGAATTAAATGGTTATTTGGAAAGGACAAATATGCAGTATAGCAGGAAGGTACTAGGTGAGAACGCCCCTCCCTGCAAGCCCTGAACAGTCTTCCTTTTAGGCAACAATCCAATTCCCTCTCAAATATCTTGACCGAATGCTACCAGCACATGTGGAGAAGCTGGTAATTGATTACAGTGACTGTGAAGTATTGTTCTTAAATAAATGTTAAGATCAAAATATAAAATTCCATATGAAACAAAATTGCTTTTAATGTTTTTCTTTAAAATGTTGAACACTGCAGGCAATGTAAAATTACTGGAATTGAAAATACTTCATTTAAAATTTGCTTGAGGTATATATACTTGAAATAATTTCTTTATCTTTTTCCAAGTTTAGACAACTGTAGGACTCAAAATGTTTGCTCAAATTATTAATGGAAATTCCACTTCCCCATGAGTTAGTCCCATCAAGAATGATTCATGTGCAGAAGAGTCAAGATACGATTTCATTTTCATGATATGAAAGTAAGTCAGATGACTAAAACTTGTTTCAAGAAACAAAAACCATCGATATTGTAACAAGTATTTTATTAGAAAAGTTATGTATAACAGCATGAACCATCACTGTTCAGCAACATTTAATGGCCTAATTAAGCAACAAACTAGAGACTCAGTAGCATAAGCAAAATGCTGCTTAAAATGAAAGCTTTCACCTTTTCCATAATTAAACATTCATTAAAAATTATCTACACATTTTATACAAAAAGAGAATATAAGCTTACAGGCACATTATGTTTAAAACAGCATTGTAACACTCCAGACTGTTAAAGCATCCTAAAATTATGAGTATGTATTTAAAATTAATATTTCATATATCCTTGGTTGCGTTTTAACAGATAGTTTGTAATTCCAGTGATAGTGGGCATACTGGTAGACTGTTATGAAAGTATGTCAATGTAGAGGAACCAGCACACAAATCTAAAAGTTAAATTAAGTGCAAGTGTTGAATATCAACTTCTCTACTACTGTGTTGTAGATATATGAATTTCATTAACCAACATCTTGAGAGTTTACCAGCAGCAGTGGTGTAACACAAGTATCATTTCTGAATAATGCAATCAACAAAGCCATAATTATGTCTGCACAGAAATGTATTCATAATATACCTGAAACATAATTTTTATCTCCAAT